GGGCCAGGGGATGAGTCACCGTGACTCACAGGGCGCGGTGCTCGGGCCTTGAAAACAGGATGCGGAATGTGCAGAATTCGGGCCGCCCGCCCCCGGGGAGGGGAATCCGCACTGTGTGTGTTTCACACACTGTGTGTTTTTCACACATGGTGAGCGTGTTTTCCTGTACTTAACGGGCACCCGAGGGATAGAAAACCTGCACAGTCACGGCAGGGGTCAGCACGGGGATCCCTCAAAACACGAACCTAGAAATTCCACCGGATCCCGCTGCTCCCCCTCTAGGCGTCTTCCTGAAAGACTTAAAGACGTCAAGTTACAGGGATCCGTGCACGCCCGCGTTTATAGCAGGTCACAACAGCTGCATCTTGGAAGCAGCCTCTACGTCCATGGGCAGATGAATGCCTAAGGGAAAAGGGTCCACGCGCCGTGGAGTACTATGCAACCAGGAAAAAGGATAAACTTAAGCCACGTGTGGGAAAATGGAGGCTCCGTGAGATCAAGTGAAAAAAATGACACCCACGACCTTCAGAGTCGCATGGTTTCTCTTTTACAGGAAACCCACAGTGTCAATGAAGAGCTAAACAAGACAGAGATGGAAGCAGGGAGATGGACCTTTCGCACGCGGGCCGGGACGCAGAGACACAGACCTCCAGGGCGGAGGGCCGAGTTCTGCGCACGCCCCAGCCCACAGGCGGGCCCGATCGTGGTGGGCAGCAGACGTGGACTCTTGAAAAATTTTTAAAGGGAAACAAACAAACAAAAAGAATTAAATCTCCAAGACCACGCAGGGCCGGGGGCCCAGGAAGGCGGAACCCCGCTTCCTCGATGTTACCCGCACACCGCACCCCCAAAGTTCGGGCCCCAAAAACCCGGACTCCGGCTTCTCTTGAATCCCAGCACCAGGACACGCACCTGCTGCCCAGGACAACACAAACCCCGCGGGGAGGACGTTCCTCGGACATCGCGTTTTTGGGGAGAATAACGGAATATTTGTAGGCCATAGTTGGATTCCTGAATCCACAGACTCCATATGCGCAAAATTCAACCAACCTCTGATGAGAAATATTGGCGAACAACGTCGGACCCATAGTTTTTGAGCTGGGCATGGCTGCACACTCCTGTGATCCTAGCTACTCAGGAGGCTGAGGCAGGAGGATGCCAAGTTCAATTTAGCACAACCCTGTCTTCAAAATAAACAAGAAGTGCTCAGCATGAAAAAAAAGAAAAAAACTGCAAAAAAAAAAACAAAACAAAACAAAAAAAAAAAAACATGAAAATACAGCTTTGCAGGGCCGTGGGGATAGCTCAGTGGCACAAAGCCCTGCCTGGGACGTGCAAGGTCCTGAGTTCGATTCCTGGCACCAAAAAAAGAAATAAACTAGAACTTTGCCAAATGGGAACAGGGTCAAGAGCTGGAAGGAGGCTCCCACACACGTTTAAAACTCAAAGAGAAGCAGACACGTGTGTGCAGCGCCATTTAGGGGACAGACTGCAGGTCTGCTAGGAAATGGTCACATCATAAAAGAGCAGGCAGAAGGAGGGGAGCAGGGCTCAGGAGAAAAAGTTCTGGGGTTCTCAGGAGACCTGCACTCCAACTTGTGATCCCCCTGCCTTAGCCTCCTGCCGAGCTGGCTTTTCAGGGCAAACCGCAGCGGTTAGAGAGGCTTTGAATGACACCGGGAAAAGAGGAAGGCGCTGCTTCCTGTTTGGGAACCAGATTAACAGCATGACTAACGGACCGATCTGGGACGGGAGAGCGGCTTGACTCATCCTAAATTTGGTGGAAACTCCTGCGCACCGCTGCGGGCATCAAACCCAGACGAGGCCCCTGCAGAGGAAACCCCGGAGCGGAAGTCCCCGGGCCCCCCCAGCTGTGACCGTCGCCTGGCGAATCACACAAGCGCAAATTTTCGGGTCACTTAGCAACCGTCACCCGGGAGACCGGCAGAGCCAGAAAGACCACGATTAAAAAAAAAGAACTGCCCAGATTCTGGGCCCGGCCGGCCAAGCGCTTGTCAGTCCAGCACTCAGGAGGCTGAGGCAGGAAGGACCCCGAGTTCTAGGCCAGCTGGGGCTCTACAGTGAGACCCTAGCTCAGAAAACCAAACCAACCTATCAAAAACAAAACAAAACAAAACAAAAACAACCATGGCCAAAAGTGAGGGGTCCAAGGGCTCACAGCCAGTGTCTCTTACTTCAAGAAGTATTGTTTTTTTTTTATTTATACATTTAGCATCTATTTTAACCACACCTCGTACGGCAAGATAAACGGTGCACGCATCACAAATTGTGAGCGTGGGTCTTTGTCCTGAGAGAGCGAACTCCAGTGAAAACGAACAAAGCAAAAACAACACAAAATCAAAAACAAACAGAGAACCAAAATCACCGGAAAGCGCAGAGTTAATTTTCTTCCTTAAACAAAACAAAACAAAAAAATCCCGAGGGAGAAACTATAATAAATCCTGCTTGAAATTACAGGAAGAAAACTCCCACCAACATGTGTGCGCATGTGCTGGCGTTTTTTAATTTGCTTTTTTGGGGAGGGGTGCTGGGGGATGTTTTTGGTTTTTCTTTGCTTTGGGTTTGTTTTTTGTTTTTTGTTTTGAGACAGGGTCTCCTCTGTAGCCCAGGCAGGCCTTGAACTCTCTATGTAGCCCAGGCTGGCCTGGAATCCTCAGGGGATCCTACTGCTTCAGCCTCCCAAGCGCTGGCATCACAGGCGTGTGCCACCATGCCCAGCTCCTCTTGCTTTTGCAGACCGCCCCCGGGTTCTTCCGCAGCCATTTTATTTCTTTCATTTCATTTCGTCCTATTTTATTCTACTTTGAGACCGGCACACTGAGTGGTGCCCGCCTGTCCTCCCAGCACTCTGGGAGGCTGAGGCAGGAGGATCCCACGTTCTAGCCCGGGCTGGGCAACTTAGGGAGAGCCTGTGTCAAAACTGAAAAATAACAAGAAGCAACCCCTCCACCCATCTCTTGATGCTCTTTCTGTTGCAAAAGCTGCCTCTCCCCAGTCCCTCTCAGCTTTTATTTTGCTGTTTATTTACACTGATTTATTTCACTTAAACTTGTAGCCTCAGCCTGCATCCATTTTTCCACAGATGACTCAAGCCCGTCCTTCTTCGGGGCAGAGTAATACTCCACCCTCGCCTTGTGTGACAGGTACACCTTCAGCTCCTACACATCCCCCGCACACGCCGTCCTGGTGCCTCTGCGCCAGGCTCATGCCCTTCACACAGCGGCCTCGAGTCCCGGCCCGGCCCCGCAGCCACCTCCGAGGGCAGCACAGAGCGTCCGGCAGACAGCACCGCCGCAGCAGCCTCCTCCCGGGGCCCCGGAAACCCCACCGCGGGCCGGGGATGCGGCTCAGGGGTGGAGCCCTTGTCCAGCAGGCGCAGGGCCCTGGGTTCAAGCTCCTGCACCACACACAAAACCCCAACTGTGACCCGAATGTAAGTCACCCGCCAAAGACGCCTCTTTCGCACGTGGACAACTTTGAGCTAAAAAGATTCCACACATAGAAACCCTTTCCTTCTTTCCTTCCTTCCTCCCTCCCTCCCTCCCTCTTCCTTCTTTCTTTCTGCCTGCAGTTTAGAAAATGCTTCTCAGACGGCGAGGCGTCATCCCAGCATTCCGGGAGGCTGAGGCAGGAGGATCTCGAATTACAGCCCCCACCTGGGTAACTGAGCGACTTCACGACACCCTGTCTACAAATTTAAATAAATAAATAAATAACACAAATGCTGATGGAGTTTAACATGTCCAAAGCGCCCAGGCGCCCCCAACGCAGGCATCAGAGGGGACACAAGCGAGTCCACCCTGGGGGTGGAGGACGAGGACCCCTGCGGGGCGCTGCCCTGGGCCTTCCAAACCACGCTCCTGCACCCCGCGGGAGCTCAACCAAAATCGATCGCAGTGTCCTCCTCCGCCCACCTGTCCCCCCACACCTCTTGCTTACGGGCTGGGCCCGGTCCTGCTCCCCGAAACTGCGCGGTGGGGACCACGGACCTCGTCGGCGGCAGCACCGGGACCCAGCCTGGGCTCCCGGAGACTTTCTAAGCAAAACTGAAAGCAGCGCCAGGGTCTGCAAACCCAGGGGCCCCGCCCCAAGTCCCAGGGTGACCCCCAACGCCAGGACCACAGCCCCCTTCCAGCAAGAGCGCCATTTGGGTCATTTCTGGTTGTTTTTTAAAAATAAAACTCCTGCAGCCGGGCGTGGTGGCGCACGCGTGTAATCCCAGCACTCGGGAGGCTGAGGCAGGAGGATCGCTGTGAGTTTGAGACCAGCCTGGGCTACAGAGTGAGCTCAGGGCCAGCCTGAACTGCATAGCGGGACCCTGTCTCAAAAAGACAAAAAAAAAGTCCTCACAGCGGTGCAGGCCGAGGGCACGGAGGGAAAGTAAGCAGGAGATCGGGCTGGCGGGCAAAGCTCAGGGCGAAGGGGAGCCTGTGGCCGTCCCCCCGAGGCCTGGCCGGGGCCTGAGCCGTGCACTGCAGCCTGGAGGCAGAGCGGGCCTGGCCCGGCGGGGCGGAGCGCGGATGCCTGTCATTCCTGGGCCCGTCTCCCGCCGCAGCGGCGCCTCTGTTAGGCCGGGCGAGCTCCGCACGGCGCCCCGGGCTCACCCGGCACCAGCGCAGCCTGGTGGAGGAAAAGCTCCGAGCTGCACACCCAGCCGGGTTCCGCTCGTGGGTGTCCCTCGGGGCCTCCCGCCAGCCCCCCAGCCCCGCGGGAGCTGCCTCGGCCGCAGGAAGGCCTGGAACCCCGCGCTCCGGGAGGCTGAGGCAGGAGGGTCTAAAACTGCAGCTCAACCTGGGCAACTGAGGGACTGAGCCAGACTCGCTCCCCAAGAAAAATCAAGTGAAATGAAACGAAATAAAGTAAAACAAGGCGCTGGAGACGGAGCCCGGCGCTGAGGCCGTCGGCTCACCCCGCCGCTCCCCGCTCAACACAAAACAAGCAAAGAGCCGGGGAGACGCGAAAAGTTCTGCAAATCGATTCACTGGAGGAGGGGATTCCCCTCCCGGGCGTTTTCTGTGTTTACCCCATTTCCATGGCAACGCGGAGGGCGGGCGCTGAGGGCCGCGCTCCGCCCGCGTCCTCTGCCCCTTCCGCGGCTCCGCTCCGGGTCCAGGCCGGGCCCACGGCGGACAAGGCCCGGAGACAAAGGCGAGCGGTGCCGAAGCCCGCCGGGGCGCCGGGGCCTGGGGTCCCCGCAGCGCGCCCCCCTCAAAATCTGGGGTTCCCCGCCCTTTCCCTCTGCCCAAAGTTTGGGGCTCCCCACCGTGGGCCCCTCGCAGACTCGGGGTGCCTACCTGGCGCCCCTCCCCAGAGTTTAGCCTCTCACCGTGCGGCCCTCGCAGAGTCAATCAGCAAACCCACTGGGCTCCCACCGTGGGGCCCTCGCACAGTCAATCAGCAAACCCACTGGGCCCCCACCGTGCGGCCTTCGCAGAGTCGGTCAACAAACCCACCCCCGCACCCCCGCCGGCCCTCGCTCACCATCCTGCGCGTGCACCAGGGCTCCCAGGAGCCCCACGAAGAGCAGGGCGAGCGCGGCCGGGCGCCCCATGCTGACCGCGCGGGGACGAGGGCGGTTGTGAGCGCTGCGAGGCCGGGCGCGGCCGGCGGGAAAAGAGGGAGCCGGAGAGGATCCAGGGAGGAGGGCGAGAGGGACCTGGGATCCCCCTGTCCACGCCCCAGGGCGGGGCGGCGCGAGCTGGAGCGCGGCAGCCGTGGGTGCGGCCTCCTGTCCACGCCCAGAGGCGGAGACTGCCCCGCCTCGGCCTCCTGGAGCGGGCGGCAGCGCGAGGGGCGCGCGGCCCGAGCGGACCAGGGTTAGCGCCCGCGGAGTTCGGACGCCTTCTCGGTTCCTTGGAAACTTTCCCAGGCCGTCCCGGGCCCTAAAAGGCGCCCGGAGTAAAGCGAAGCCCTCCCCAGAGTCCGGTTCCGCGCGCTCGGGCCTCAGAGGGTCCCCAAGCGCCCCCGCTCGCGACGAAGGGAAGCCGCCGCCTTTCTCGGAAAGGTGAGCCCCTCCCAGCCTGCCCAGGGCCCCTCCCCACCCTTGCGTGGCTACGCGGACCGCTCAGGAGACTGCCCAAACGCTTTCCCGGGTCCTGGGCTGGGCGCCTGCACGCGGGAAGGGTGGAGGGCGTGGGGGGTTGGGGGGGTCACCGCGCGACTCCGCCCCCACTTCTGCACAAAATCGAGGGCCCCCCTTGGACAGGCCGTTTGGACGGGACGAGGGTGGGGGTTCTGCCTTGGGGGAACCGCGCCTTTAACCGGAGATGCTCCTGCCTCAGCCTCCCCAGTGCTGCCTCCAGGCCCGGCTGAAGTATATTTTCTGTATTCAGCGGTGAGCTTAAAATTCTCCCCGCTTTGCTCCGCGGGCTCCCTGGGTCACAGATGCGGGCTGAGAAATTTCCCTGAGTCACCGCGCTCTAAATGCTGCCAGCCTGTCCTGCGCCTCCCTCTGCCTGCAGCTGCTCGCGCGGCGTCCCCTGGCTCTGCGCCCCTGGGTCCCAGGCACCGAGGCCGCGGACCGCCAAGAACGCCCCTGCACCCCAGAGCCGGCCTCCCTGTCTCGGCGCAGCGGTCATCATCCAAAATGCAGCAGTCTTCCTCTGAACGCTCACCTCTTCGTGCTAACCCCGAGTGGACAAACCAACTAACGCCCTTTCCTCCCTCTGCTCTTTCTGCACAAGCCGGTCCTCAGTGCTTTACTCAGAAAAGTGAAGGGTGTCACAACCAACAGGACTTCTACAATCCTTGTGGGGCCCCACGTGAATGCTGGAGCTCTGGCAACCTGTTTGGCACCTTGAGGTAAGCCAGACTCCCGGTGCATGGGATGTAGGTGAAAGACAACAGAAGGTTCTCACCCACTTCCAACTCCAAAATTCTTTTCCTGTGAACAATCCAGTTCACCCCCTCTGCCGTCCAGAGAAGGGCTGTGCTTGGCCTGCCTGCAAGGTCTGACGTTCTCCCACTGTCCGGCGGGGCTGGAGACTGCGCTGTGGGCACTTTCTATCCCTGAGGGCACAGGCCTGCGCCCTCATGAAACACGTCCCTTCTCTGCCAGGGCCGCGCCCTCGGGCTGTTATTCCTGTTCGCGCAGCAAGGCCTCCTGAAGCCGCCGAATTCCAACCCAAACGCGTGGCTTCGGCTCTCTGCTCTTCTT